CCAGTTTGGACGCGTGGTAGACAGGCACATCATCGACAACCCGCCGCTTGACACCGTGGAGGACATCGATCGAGCGTTGGAGGGACTCCACCAAGCCATAACCGTGGCTGACGAGGCGTGCGTCCGACGAGTTCCTGTGAGGGGTAAGTTTATTGGCATTGATTCCCACACCCAACTTTTGATTCGCCTGAGAAATGTTCGTAGACGCCAGTTTCAGAGGACTGGAGATCTGGGCAAAATACGTGAAATGGCTGATCTGAACAGACAGATTGCTTTCAGAATGGACTCACTCCGAAATGAAAGTTTCGGGCGTGTTGTCCAGAATCTGGACGACCGCTCCAGACCATTCTGGAAGGTAGCCAAGGTCTTGAAAACTCGTCCCAAACCCATTCCACCTCTCAGAGTCGAAAATGATGACGATCGGCTTTTAATCACCCCACAGGAGAAAGCAAATGCGATCGGCAAGCATGTCGCTTCATCGCATTTGCTTGGCTCGAATATCCAAAGTCCGCTCGAATATCAGGTTGCGCAATGCGTTCAAAACCTAGATGCCTCCCCTTGTGTCGTGCCTCCGGCGGATATGATTACAGTACAACAAATTTGCTCAGCGCTGAAATGCACCAAGAACATGAAGGCTCCCGTGTTTGACGGTATATTCAACTTGATCTTGAAGAGACTCAGCATGAAAGTGCAGTCTCTTCTAACCGCTATCTTCAACAGATGTTTGGAACTGCACTACTTTCCAAGCATCTGGAAAGTAGCAAAAATCATACCAATCCGCAAACCCGGTATACATCCAACATTGCCTTCAAGCTACAGACCAATCAGCCTCCTTTCAGTGCTGAGCAAATTGTTCGAGAAACTCATTCTCAATCGTTTGATCAAGTTTGTCGAGGAAAATAACATTCTCCTTCCGGAACAGTTTGGGTTCAGAAAGGGGCACTCCACCAATCATCAGCTAGTACGGGTGATGAATAACATCCGAAGTAACAAAGCTGTATCCAAGTCCACAGCCATGGCCTTGTTAGACGTTGAAAAGGCGTTTGACAATGTTTGGCATGACGGACTTGTGTACAAGCTTTGTAACTTCAACTTCCCATTACATCTGGTTAAAATCACCCGTAACTACCTCCAGCAAAGGTCGTTTAAGGTATCGTTGAATGGTTGTCTTTCAGACACGTTTTCCATCCCAGCAGGAGTCCCGCAAGGGAGTTTGCTAGGCCCCTTGCTTTACAGCATTTATACTTCCGACATTCCTCTTCTCGGTGACGGTTGCGTGTTCTTCCTGTTCGCAGATGATACCGCAATAGCCTTCAAAGGAAGGATGCCTCGCGAAATAACGAACAAACTTCAACGATGCCTTAACGCCTTTGCTGATTATGCCACCACGTGGAAAATCAAAATCAATGCCTCCAAAACACAAGCGATCATGTTCCTCCATCGGCAATCGCCCAAACTGAAACCGGCTCCATCTTGTACTGTAATTATGGATGGCACAAGGGTTGAGTGGTCCGCCGAAGTAACCTATCTCGGGATGTTGTTTGACGAAAAGCTCCTATTCCGCTCGCATGTGGAGAAAACCGTAATCAAATGTTCTGCCGTGGCTAGATGTCTGTATCCGCTGATTTGCCGCAGATCCCGCCTCTCAAGGGTGAACAAACTGGCCGTCTACAAACAAATCATAGCACCTGCGATCCTCTACGCAGCTCCGGTGTGGGAATCATGTGCACAGACTCACAGGAACAAAACTCAGGTCGCTCAGAATAGAGTGCTGAGGATGGTTCTTGATCGTCCTTTCGACACTAGAATAACAAATTTACATGAAGAGGCAGGCATTGCCAAAATAGATTCCAAAATTAACGAAATTAAGACTAAATTTGCACAAAAATGTAATTTATCAGAACATGCTTTGATAAGCAATTTGTATATAGTAGGTTAGGTGTATATAGTAGTTGTAGGTTAGTTGTAGTTGTAAATAGTAGTTATAAGTAGACTCCTTTTTCCAATTCAAATCAAACCAATCCCACCAAGGTGGTCATACTTTAGAAAATAGGCCTGATAGGACTAGAAACTGTAAATAATAATTAAAATCTCACTGTACTAAAGTTGAAAAGACGCATCTGTGTCACTTGAAAAATTCATACATGTAAACCACACAAACACAAGAAATAAAGATCATTTAAAGTCAAAAAAAAAAGCCTCTGCTCAGTACCGCTTCGGACGGCGCGGCACTAGGTCCTGCATCAAGCAGGACTAGGTCAGGGGCTAAAGGTGGATCACGGCGTGACAATGAGGAAAAGTAATGTATGTTAACCTCCTCCCCCTTTCACAACAACCTCTCCCCCTCCCCCCTTCACGACAATCTCTCCCCCTCCCCCCTTCACAACAATCTCTCTCCCCCTCAACAACCTCTCCTAAACCCCCACACCCCCCCCCCTCCCAAATACAACAAATACCTCTCCGAAAATTAAGCTTCCTCCACTGGTGGTGAAGGTAGTGCCACTCAAGACGCTCATTGGCGATTTCGCATCGCTGGGCATCGCAGCTGAGTACAAGATCAGCAGGATCGGCACTAAGGTGATGCTCCGGACGAAAGCGGAATACGAAATCGCAGTCAAATTCCTGAAGGATTCCAATGCGGAATACTTCACGCACGACATCCCCGGTGAAAAGCCTTTCAAGGTAGTCATCAGGGGTCTACCGGATGTTGATCCCAAGGCGATCGAAGAAGAACTCAAGGACCGGTACAAGCTGGCCCCAATCGCTGTATTTCGGATGATGAGGAGAGACGAAAACGTGAAGACGTACCCGGATTGTCTTTTCCTGGTGCACTTCCAGAAGGGAACGGTGACGCTGAATGCGCTGCAGGCTATCCGCTCAATCTACTCCATAATCGTACGATGGGAACCATACCGTGGAGGCCATCGCAATGTGACCCAGTGCTAACGATGTCTGAACTTTGGACACGGTACTCGCAACTGCAACATCAAGCCACGCTGTAGCAACTGCGCTCAAAAACACGCCACTTCCCACTGCCCTGCGGATGGAGCCGTGGCGTTAAAATGCGCTAACTGTGGTGGTGCTAATCAAGGTTCCGACAGACAGTGCTCCAAACGCGAGGACTTCAAACGCATCCGAAAACAGGCGGCAACTAACAACCAACCAGGACGCAATAAGGACAAAGTCCCGGCATTTCGGACGGAGGATTTCCCGCCTCTTCGTGCTCCTCAGCAAAGGCAAGTGAATTCGCGGGTGCATTCAGCTCAAGCAACTTCCGGTGATTCTGCTGGCCAAAGCTCTCCATCCCCTCCTGGACTCTGGAGACAACCAACAGCGCAAAACAACAACCCCGATCTGTTCTCAGCGGATGAACTGATGGAAATCTTCGTCAACATGTCCGGTGCTCTTCGTAAGTGCAGCAATAAGCCCGAACAGATCCAAGTGCTCGGTAAGTTCATCATCCAGTATGGCGTCTAAACCGCTAATTATCGTCACCTGGAATGCTTGCTCTGTAAGAGCAAAAAAGATTGAGCTTGCCGACTTCCTCCGCAAGCACAGCATCGACGTGGGCCTTCTAACCGAGACCCATCTAAAGTCCGGCGACAGCTTCTGGTTGCCTGACCACAACATTATCCGGCTTGATCGCACCAGCTCCAGGAGGGGTGGTGTTGCGGGCGTCGTCAAGAAAGGAATAAAATACCACACTCTGTCCCATGTTTGGTTTTCGGATGAGCCAACATTTATCTCACCGGCGGGCAACCCATCAACGCTAGACCTGTTTCTGACAAATATCGGCTTGTCCAAGCCGGTAGCCTTGAACGAACTCAGCTCCGACCACCAACCGGTGGTGGCTGAACTGGGCTGCAATGTGGCTCCTGCTCCAAGCCTGCGCAAGGACTACCATCGCGTAAACTGGGCCCAGTTTTGACGCGTGGTAGACAGGCACATCATCGACAACCCGCCGCTTGACTCCGTGGAGGACATCGACCGAGCGTTGGAGGGACTCCACCAAGCCATAACCGTGGCTGACGAGGCGTGCGTCCGACGAGTTCCTGTGAGGGGTAAGTTTATTGCCATTGATTCCCACACCCAACTCTTAATGCGCCTGAGAAATGTTCGTAGACGCCAGCTTCAAAGGACTGGAGATCAAGCTAGGAAACGTGAAATGGCCGATCTGAACAAGGAGATTGCTTCCAGAATGGTCTCACTCCGGAACGAAAGTTTCGGGCGGCATGTCCCGAATCTGGACGACCGCTCCAGACCATTCTGGAAAGTTGCCAAGGTCTTAAAGACAACAGACGCTCGGGTTTGGTGAAGCATTTCCTTTATCACCGTACTATGGTTAACGCGCCAGTGTTCGCGTCGCACCTCTTCACTTTGCTATTGCCGGACTGGCAACATTGCTCAAGCTACGCCACCCAGCTGTGTCCATGTTTCAGCTGGTAGTCTTTTGTTGTCATGTGACTCGCGGAGTCGTGAAGTAGGAACTTGTGAGGACCAGGGCTAGGTATTCCGCTCCTTCCAGGTTGTCAACTCACCATTTTGTTTCAAATCTCATCACGTGTTTATTCGCCTATGTCTAAGCCTAGCAAAATTCAACTGTGCAAAAATCATCGATGAGTTTCAGGTTGAAAAATGTATTGCTTTAAATGTTGGCGTTATTAATTGTTATTACTGTTGTTTTGCATCAATGGATGGAAAACTTATACAACATGCATGGGCATGCTGCTAATTGACGTTTTAGCGTTTTATTTTAATTTTAGGCTGGAATGAATTTTTAGCGTGGTGCGTGTGAGTGCGTGAAAATACGCATGAGAATCTCATGCGTGAGTTTTGTTTGCCAGATTCGCAAGGGAGTTTATTCTCTCAGAGAGGCTCAATGAATGAGATGATTTTACGAACACCGCTCTTAAGTTAGCTATCTTATGACATCAGAATTATCACGTAAATAAATCAAATTTGCGTTCTTCATATTTTGATATTGTCTTGTTACTTTTCAGATACAAATTATTCTACTAAGTGTACTATGCCAAATAACCCATGCAAGACCGTTCACTTTCCCGGACGGCACTCAAACGAATGGCGACCGCAACGGCAGCTCTCGCTCTGGGCAGCATCCCGAACCTGAAGGTCGTAGCATCCGAGGCGGTTACAGTCAGGACAAACGTCTGGATATCTACAGCCGATACAACGTGTACGAACACGAAGAAGACGATTACCGAAGAACAACGACCACCTTCCGACCTTATGTCACCATTGGTTCAACCAAGCAAACGTTCAATCGATATCCAAATGCTAACTACAATAGACTTCCGCCGGCGAAAAATGACGAACCGATAGAAGCAGAACCGGAAGATGATTACGATGACGATGGAGATGCAGAGGATGGTGTTGATCCTCCGAATGCTGCAGAAGACTTCAGCAGCAGCAGCACTTCCGGTAGCAAACCAGTTACGTTCAACAATCTGCTGTTCACCAACAATAACAAGTTTGGTGGATTCGGTAACCTATTTGGTGAAAATCGCGTCAAGCACAAGTACAAATTCAAACGACGAAGGCCCGGTCAGCCGTGCATTCCATATGATCTCTTCAATCGACTCCGAACGGGTCGTGATTCGAATGGGAATCGAATCGATCCAAAAACTTTGATTCCTCCGCTGAATTTGGTGCTGGCCGATGTGAATTACTACTCCCCATCAAATAACTACAACGGTCACGGGGTGGCATCCGATACGGGAGCTTCTTACGATACGGGAACTTCCAGTGGGGGAGCTGTGTTCAATAACGTATTCTACGATGCTGTCGGAGGTTATCCCTGTACGGGAGGATACAAGCCTCAACGACCTCACGGAGGTCCGCTGGGATTCTTCGGGCAGGGTGGACTGTTCGATTGGGTATCTTCGGCGGATTCCGTGCAGAGCGATCCGGGCGAGGGAGGATCGTCTAATAAACCGACTGTGGTGTTCAATCTAAACGATGCCATAGACTCAGTGGTGAGTTGTGGTTGGCAATGGGGGAGGATCTTTGAAGTGAATTGAAAGTTTTCGTTTGTTTTGTAGGCAACCAACTGGAATCCAGGTGAGAGGTTTCAAATGATGATGAAGGTCATAGCGGAGTTCATATCGTCGGTTGCTGGAGGAGGAGGAGGGGTACCTGTCGTGGGTGATGCTGTCGATACAGTGCGGCAAGTTAACAAAGAGTTTGTTAGTTTATTTACCTAAAATACTCATATAAGTTTAATGAAAATAAACGCAAATTTTGTACATTTTTAATTACGTTGTTTACAGAATGTATAGTAAATGCACAAAGGGTTTAACATTAGTAATAAGTGAACGCATATAAGCCTAGTTTTGCTTACAATATTTAATCAACTTTCGCAGCCTCCCAGGCCGCATCCGGTTTTTGCCAGCATTCCTTCTATGCTCCCGTCCATTTAGCACCGTAGACAGCAGGTCACAGATTCGGAATTTACGCTCTCCGTTGATACCCTGCAAGTCCTTCGTGGATTTCCGTGACCATTCCCGCAGCGGTTTCACCTTAACAAAGCGAGAGCCCGGAAGTAGCAGATCCGCTGGCAATGGAGCCGTTTCGTAGATATCGTGAAAGGGAAATTTGGAAAATGATTGCATCAGTGGATTGAAATACTCATCTGATTGTTCCAGGGCTGGCCAGGAAACTTTGCTGCAGCCGACGGCTAAGATCAATGTGGTCACATTCAGCAGCGATATGAGCAGCAACTGAAACGAAAGTGCACAATTTGTTACGAGTAGCAGCACTGGCACTGGCAGTGACCTTCGACAGTGGATACGTACCATGTTTTGCCGATGATCGAATGCTGACTTGCCTCGATCAGCAGTTTATTCTGCGGAATACGACTCATGTCTGACGGAAGGGCAAATTGGCATCCGCTTTCGGCGCGCCTCGTTGTGACTAGTGCCGGTTTTGTTTTGGGTTTCGGTCAGCTACCTTAAACATAACAAACGCTGCTGCTTGAATGAGAAAAGCACGAACGCATGGTGACCTTTCAGATGGTAGCTGTTCTGTAGTGGAAATTGTAAGATTGTTTTCCTAAGAAAAGCACTCCCATCACGCTTAAAATGAGAGGAGATAATGATCAGAAGTCACATATGCTTCTGGATACCTATGAGCGAACTATATCTGCAGTTTGCGTACTCTGGTGCTCCCAGTATTCTGGATAAGTCAGGTCCGTCTTGTCGAAGTTGACATGAGTTTAAGTACTGAACTTAGCAATGCTGTTCGTCAATTCCAATCCCCTAAGTACAAGATCACGCACTGTTAGCACACGTGATAGAGAATCACGGTGTGTATTTGGATGTCAGAAAAAAAAAAAAAAAAACAAAAATCGCTAAATCTTCCACCGTTTGAAAATATAGCCTTTTACCTTTCATTCGACGCCTGTTTGAAAATAATCCACTGAGAGATACCGAACAATGTTTTTTTTTTTAATAAGTAACAAACTTGTATAAGCAAAAATGCTACCTGTGGACCGTGCAAAGCGAGGTTTGTTTGTAACTAAAAATTTATAAAGCAGAGAAAGGTTCCCGTGCTGAACTTGATGTTCTTAAATTAATTTTAGACCTCCCAAAAATAATCAAAACATGATTCACGTATTTCATGAGGATTTCCATGTAGCTTATTAACCAACATGATTTAGAGTTGGATGCGTCTCTATGGAGCATGGCGTAACTTTAGCAAGGTTTAATTGCTCACCAGAGAACCTGGATCAGGCACAGGTTGTTTGAAAAAGTAATTTGGTTCATATTTGACTGGCTTCGTAATTTTAACCTAGGTTGTCGCACTCTTAGGAACAATTTGAGAAAGGAGCACATCTACGGAATCACAACTGACTGGATAATCCCGATCGCGTCCGTAATGTGGCGTTTTAATAGGGGAGATGGGGTGAAATGCTCTTAATAAGGAAAATCTCCGTTTAATCCACAAAGTGAATTGATATTGGCTTTACTTTTTTATGTTCTTCCTCTATTGAAGTTAAATGCTTGACGCCTGATGGTTATGCTTTCCACACTAAAATTCATGGGGCACATTAATGCCCCTTCTTCTCAACTTAGTGTTCTAGATGCACTTCCACAGTTATTAATTGAAAGCTTTCGAAGCCTGTACCATTATTGCATTAGTATAATTGTGTGGCAAGTACAATTATACTTTAGGCCCAGGGAAGTCGAATAATTTTCCAACCCGACAAATTCCTAGACCGGATCGAGAATCGAACCAAGCCACCTCCAGCATGGTCTTGCTTCGTAGCTGCGCCTTTACCGACTGAGCTAAGGAAGGCCCACTTAGAGTAACAAGTAGTATTGTTGAAAATAACTACTATTTTTCTAATAAAAAAAAGTTGAGCTATTGAGCCGAAAGATGAACCATGTAGCTAATAGATTGCATCAATCAAATTGTACTTGCCACACTTGAAATGCGAGTAAGAAGAAGAAATAGGGGCGTCGGTGGTGTAGTGGTAAGCATGACTGCGTTTCACTCCAAAGGGTCTGGGTTCAATCTCAGTCGGCGCCGTCGAGATTTTCTGAGGCATAAAATCTCTGTTCACGAATTCCTTCGCATGGAAAGTAAAACCGTTGGACCCCGGTCCATGAGCTGATGGGTCCATAGCTAGGGTCTAGGTGTGGGAGCTGCCTCCCTGGCGTCGGTAGCATTAACTCAGTACGGAAAACAAGATCGACGGGAAAAAAACCAAGGGAAAAATATTCCATTTAATTGTTGTAAGGCAGATGGGGGTAAAATAACCATGCTATGGAAGACCTCCGTTGAATACACAAAGTGAATCCATATTTGAATACAATGTCATTTAAATTTTGTATTAGAATATTGACAAGATATTACAATTCATATGCTTAACAAAAATTGCTCTAATCTTGTTTAAATTGGTAAAATTGAAAAGGTCCTGGTTCCGAAATGCTGCGGTGCAAAATTCACATAATGTTTATATGTCAAGGAAGCATACATTTAGGCTTTATCTATGTTCTTCCTCGATTAAATTTCAATGATTAACGCCAGTTTGTTATGCTTTTCAACCTTCTGTTCACGCTTATACCCCACTTAGAGTAACAAATAGTAACAACAGAATGTTAGATAGAATTTCCAACCAACTCAGTAACAACAGAGACATTTCTCGGTTGGGTATATAGCTCAACATGGATAAGCCAAACGTACACGACATTAATCCAACTCATATTTGAGTTTAGTTCATTCCAATTTGCAAAACCGTAGCTTACTCATAGCTATAACAACATATCAAGAAGACAGGCAACTCTTCCATTTTCTCATGCGACCGCTATGAGACCGACACAATCGCGTCATCTGCCGCGCAAAGGTAGATACTTCGAACGAATTTGATTGGTACAATTGGATTACAACCTCAGAAGAAAGATTTGTGTATTTGCTCATTTTTCTATGTAGTACTTCCACCTTCACTCGAGCGCAGCTCTACTGTATATGTCGTTGGATTCTGGAAGAATTGCCAGTCTTCTTGATTTGGAGTCTTCACTCATAGACAGAGTAAAATTTGCCTCGATTTTCCAGGAAAAACTGTTCCAATAAGTGAAACCTCTCACTCACTCTATTTGTATAGGGTAGGATGGTCTAAAACGCACTCCTGGGGTAAAAAAGGCCCCAAGCCTTCCGATTGAGCTAGCATTATGGCATATTAAATCCCAGAATCAGTAATAGGAAAGCAATGAAAAAACGCACGGGGCCATTTTACCACAGGGGTGTATTATGGACTGTTCTCTCCTACTCATAGGCTGAGTAAAATTTTCGTTTACTTTCCTCATAGGGGAAATGGATGTAATGTCGGCCTAAATGGCCCTAATATGGGCCCATACATAAATTCAGCATTCGACTAAATTTCCAATAGCGACCAAAAATATACATTAGTACCGTCCCAATGACGCGTTCATCTAGATAAAATTGTTAAATAGTAGATTTTTAGCGATGGGCCCAATCTTAGATCCATAGGCCAAAATTAGAGCCATTTCCCCTATTTGAGAAGATTTTTGAGGATAAGCAAGAAAAATTTCAGTAAGTCTATGAATCTACTTTTTAGTGATTTTGAATGAAAAACCACTTGTCTGCGAAGCAAGTTGAAGCTTCTCATGTCGATATGTAGAGGCGTTGATGTTCGTTGTAGTTTACTGTGGGAAGCTTTCGTTGCTTGCAACATTGCATACGACTTAAAAAGCAGTTTTGAGTGCACTGGAAACCAAACTAACTCAGAAAGTCAGCTACTTCTACTTAGATGTGAGTTACTCTTTCTCATTCCTATTTCTACACTGAAAACGAACCTTTCTCAGAGAATGAGTCACGTTTACTCATTCATGTGGAAAATTTTCTAAAAGCCTAGGTTACTCATGCTCTGAGTGACCTACGCTTTTAGAAATGTCTCCATACGAATGTGTAAACGATACTCATAACTAAATAAAAGTGACTCATTATCTGAGGTGGCTTCGTTTTCAGTAAAAAAGCGAGGTGACTCAGCGCTTTTATTTTAATGGAAACGCCTACATTTAGGCGCATCTGTTCATTATAAGAAATCTTTTTTAGAGCTTATGCTGAATCTACACTTAGCACAAGGATTTATTATCTGATTCGGATTCAGTTCACCTAATAAGGGGAACGTGGGCTAATAAACCCCCCCCCCCCCCTCTCTATGGAAATGCTGGATTTTAACTACTTATTGATCAACAATATGTATCCCATTTTAGTGGATTCATTAGTGTTACCGGAATCATCAAATAAAAATATGCATTTATCACTGGGGAATTGATATTAAGAAAAATATCAGTTAAGAACTTTTTTTATTGCGAGGTAACAGGTGAGGCGAGGTTCTTTAGACTACGAAAACATGTTACTGGGTCTGCGATCTATATTGCGAATAAAGCCCAGGAGGAAATAAATGCCAGGTTCGAGTAAGGCCAAACATTGCTCTTCACAACTCCGCACAATCACCTTCCTAATGCGTTGGACGTTGAAACCGCAAGATATAAAAACAGCTTGAATAGGAAAGCCCATGAAAGCTCTGAAAGGCATGAGAAAATAATTCGCTACTGCGCAGCTCAAACATCAACAGAGGTAAGTGTAGGAACTAATACTTGAACAAGTGAAGGCAATGAGAAATGTAGTAAACAATTTGCGTGTTTGTGAATGAAATAAATGTCAGTTTAACAGTAAGACATAAAGAAATAA